GGCTGGATTCGAACCCACCACCTTAGGTGTATGTGGCTGGCGCCTTAGCCACTTGAGCCACAGGCGCCGAGCCCAGAAACCCCTTTGGATACAAAAATCTGTGCATACTCAAGCCCTGTAGTTCAAGTCCATGTAATGAGAATAAGACAGAGTCAGGCTAGGGCTGAGATGACACAGCAGGTCTGGGCCGTATGGTGAGAGAGAATACTCAGGAAAAGTGAGGTCTGAGAGAACAGAGGTCTTTTCATGGAGGTCCCAAGAATACACCTGCAAGGTCCTCCCCATGGTAACTCAGCTCTTAGGAATTTGAAAAACTTAACTTTCTGGGACCCAGAAGCTAACGTTTGCTTCTATTTCTGTAAAAACCCAAGCCTGCCTTCTCTAGCTTGAGTCAAACTGACCAATGAGAAGGGTACCTGTGGAGAAAGAGCCCTTGGCTGGAGATAAAAGGGAAAAGACAGAGCCAGTCAGGGAGTGTGGCCATTTTTGGACTGTAGTCTGCCGTAGCTCCACCAGCTGAAATAAAGCCCTTCCTCCATATCTTGTTCAGCTTTTCTCTCCATCCTGCCTTGTCTTCCTGCAACACAGGTCCTACATTACCTTTACCTCATGTCTCTCATTCTTGTTTTGTAAATTCAGCTATAAAAGTATAATTTTTTTCTTTTTTTTGAGACAGAGTCTCAAGCTGTTGCCCTGGGTGGAGTGCTCTGGTGTCATAGCTCACAGCAACTTCCACCTCTTAGGCTCAAGTGATCTTCTTGCCTCAGTTTTTCTGTTTTTTGTAGAGACGGGGTCTTGCTTTTGCTCAGGCTGGACTCAAACTCCTGATCTCAAGCAATTCACCTGCCTCAGCTTCCCAGTATGCTAGGATTACAGGCATGAGCCATAGCATCCAGCCTCAACTACCTTTTTGTAGTATGCTGTTTCCTTGTTCTTGGTTAAGCTATCTTATAGAAGCCAAGTGTTCTGCCAAGCAAAACACAGAAACTTTCCCTTAGATGGGTGATGCCCTGTTCAGGAATTGCTAATAAAAGTCATTTAGATCTTTGTAATTTTGTCTTTTGTCAGGCAACATAGCATCATCTCTGGTGGTACCCACCATCTCTGAAGACTTCCATTAGTCCTTAGTAGCCAATTAGATTAATTAATCGACTATTTTTAGCAATGTATTTAACACCTGTCAGGAAAAGTTGTGAATGACTTTGAAATGGGAGAAAGGAATACTGGATGTGCTTCAGCACCCTTTCCAGTTATAAAGTTTATAAGAGTCTGTGAGTTATTGTATTTGTCTAAAGTATCCTGAGGGGCACAGTGGCTCACGCCTGGAATCCTAACACTCTGGGAGGCCGAGGGGGGTAGATTGCCTGAGTTCATGGGTTTGAGATCAGGTCAAGCAAAAGTGAGACCCTGTCTATTAAAAAAAAAAATAGAAAAAACTGCTGCAGGAGGATCACTTGAGCCCAAGAGTAGGAAGTTGCTGTGAGCTATGATGCTACAGCACTCTACCCAGGATGGCAGCTTAAGAGTCTGACTCAAAAAAGAAAAAAGTATCTAATAGCTCTAAATTGTAGAAAACTGATGGTAACACAGATGATTCCTTTTTTTGAGACAGAGTCTCAAGCTATTGTCCTGGGTAGAGTGCCATGGCATCATAGCTCATAGCAACCTCCAACTCTTAGGCTCAAGTGATCCCCTTGCCTTAGTTTTTCTATTTTAGTAGAGAAAGGGTTACACTTTTGCTCAGACTAGTCTCAAACTCTTTGAGCTCAAGCAATCCATTCACCTCAGCCTTCCAGAGTGCTAGGATTACAGGCGTGAGCCACTGCACCCTGCCAGATGATTCCTTTTCAATAGACAAAACTGGTTTGTAGGGTCTCCTTTGAACCAGTCTGAATTAAGATATTCAAAAAATGAGTTGGCTTAGTGCCCATTACTCAGTGGTTAGGGTGCTGGCCATATGCACCAGGGCTGGTGTGTTCAAACCTGGCCCAGGCCTGCTAAACAATAACAAAATAGCCATTGTGGTTGCCTGTCCCAGCTACTTGGGAGGCTGAGGCAAGAAAATTGCTTAAGCCCATGAGTTTGAGGTTGCTGTGAGCTATGACACCACATCACTCTACCAAGGACGACATGAGACTGTCTCGAAAAAAATTTAAACAAAATTGACCTTTTTGTATTTGTATAATTTTTTATTGTCTTTTAACATACTTTATTTCCCTTTTCCTCCTGGCTACTAGGAAGCACAAAGGCAATGTTTTAAGCCCATACACAAAGTACTGATTCCTGAAGTTTCTAATTTAATAGGAAGCTGTACCGAACACAGGGGAAAGTGGAGACTTGAGTAATGGCTTGTCAGCTACTTTCCATTACCAGGTTGGCTCCACCTGGAGGCAGAAAGCTGGGTCCTCTGATATTAGTTCTACCTCTTCTGGCAGGGGCTGGAAGTTCCCCTGCTGAGCTAAGGCTCATAGCAGGCTGACTGGAGCTGACATTCAGGGTCACATCCTAGTCACACATCCTCCCCTTCCCAGACACAGCCATCTTCCTCTTTCTGAGGACAGAAGTTGAAAGGACAAGTTTCCAGGATGTTGCAATATCCAGGAACTCGAGGGGAAGGAACAGATGGTTGTTCATTACAGAGAATGAACTAGCATTAGCTTATCTAGCATTAGTGTGTAGAACAGCTCTGACTCAACACATGCTTGATACCCAGTGTCACATGAAGACCAGTTCTCTACAACCCTGATGGAAAGAACTCACCTTATATGAGATGATACTATTTCCAGGAGGAAAGAGGCTCAGTCATGGGTGGAGCTGGCCCCTTGATGCCAAGCCTGGAGCTCTCTCCCAGTGTCCTACAGACCTATGAACCATGATTCTACCAAGTACTTTACTCATTCAACTCCCGAAGACTTGTCCTCATCTTCCAGGTGAAGTTACCCACCCAGATAGAAGGGGCAGGAAGCTCCAACTAGGGTCTAGCCTCCAGGCCACACTCTGATGTCCTAGTTTGTCAGACAGGGAAAGTCCACTTGTGCCACTGGCCCATGCCTGTTTGGGGGTGGGGTGGGGGTTTCCAGTAGCTTCTTCATCTGGTCTCTTTCCCAGCCCAAGACCCATCCTTTACTGGAGATTGAGGTCCCCCATGCTCCCAGGCACAGGGTCTTTCTCTTGTCACCCCACATGTACGTAGTCCTGATTTGCTCTTCCAGGAAACCCACCTCTCCAACCATTACTCCCTGTACTGCACACTAGAACCTGTATGGGCCACGTGTGCACACACAGGCCTCAGAACAATTACTTCCTGATGCAAATCCCCTGGCCCAGTGCATTGTAACACCCGACTCACCTAGATATTTAAGATGCATATTTTGACTTGGTGCCTGTAGCTCAAGTAGCTAGGGTGCCAGACACATATACTGGTGCTGGTGGGTTCGAATCCAGCTTGGTCCACCAAACAATGACAAATATAAACAAAAAAATAGCCGGGCATTTTGGCAGGTGCCTGCAGTCCCAGCTACTTGGGAGGCTGAGGCAAGAAGATCGCTTAAGCCCAAAAGTTTGAAGTTGTTGTGAGCTGTGATGTCATAACACTCTACCTAGGGCAACAGCTTGAGACGGTCTTAAAAAAAAAAAAAAAAAAGGCAGATTTTTTTAGGTCTGGGATGGTCCCAAGATTCCATATTTCCAACAGTTCCCCAGATGATACCAATAGTGTTTACAGACCACACTTGGAGTGTCAAGGGCCTTCTTATTCTCTGTAGATCCTAAACCACACAAAACCTTGCTCTGAATGCAGCAGACATCTGTCCATCTCTCTAATTTGGAGGCTGAGGCAAGAGAATCATTTAAGCCCAAGAGTCAGAGGTTGCTGTGAGCTGTGACACCAAGACACTCTACCCACATCGACAGCTTGAGACTATATCTCAAAATATATATAGCCAGGCAGTGTGTTATGGTGGACACCTGCAGTCCTAGCTACTTGGAAGGCTGAGGCAAGAGGATCACTTGAGCTCAAGAATTTGAGGTTGCTGTGAGATAAGACACCATGGCACTCTACCAAGGGCGACAAAGTGAGACGGTCTCAAAAGAAAAAAAAGTAGGGGCTTGGTTAGGTCTGAGCAAGGTTGGAGCCAGCTTAGGACCCTCCAATATGGGGGGCTTCATACCTCCCCATACCTTCCTAGAGGGAGCCTGGCACAAACACCTCTCCTGATGGGGGAGTCACAGCTCCCTGGGCACCCCCAGTACTATTCCATTAAGTACTCCTAGAGGGTGGGGCTGGGACCTGGAGGGAGGCAGCCTGTAGGGGGAGAATGAAGGTAGTAGAGGCTGCAGCAGCTCCCTTCAGTAATGTTGAGACCAGAGCCTCCTGCCTCTGAAAGTAAAAATCACCTGCCTCAGAACCAGTGATATGGCTGTAGCAAGTTTATACCTCAAGTATGCTCAAGGGTGGTTCCAGTTCAAGGTGATGGTCCAAGACTGGGCAAGATGACCTCAGTTCACCATCCTGGCTAGGAAGGCCCAACCACCACTGTTTATTAAGCCTCTAGCATCTGGATACATGGCTTGTTGACTGTTGACATTAGGCAAGGGGTCAGGTCCATGAGGCCTAGAGAAGATTCTTGGCTCGTTAGAGTCAGGCTAGCTGGGCCCACCCTGCTTTTGTCCCCGGCAGTTTCCATCTTGGACTTGTGGAGGTCCTGTGTCACTGAGGGTGCCCCTGGGATGTGTACCTTCCCCACTGCACAGGCAGCAGACTTGGGCACAGCAGGGCTTGCCAGGCCATGTTATGAGAGCCCATAGCTCTGACCTGGTTTCCCCATCCCCAGGTTGCCACCACAAGTCTGACTTTCTAGTCACCACACCACTCCCAGAAGTTGCTTTCTTCTTTTATTGGGAAGCAGACACAGGGCGGGAAACAGGACGATGCCTGGTGAGAGCCAGAACAATAGCAGCCAGAGTCAGGGACGCCACCACAGCTAGGCCTCCACCCAGTGCCAGAGAGGTACGGGAAGGAGAGGCCCATCCTTCCATATCATGGTCACTAGCCCTTCCCAGGAAGATCAGTGGCCCCACAGTGACATCTGCTTCTTCTGTCACTGTAGACAAAAAGTCACATTAGTCCCTAACCAGAAATCAGGTTACAGGCTTTGTTCTGCCTCAGTAGGCTGAGCTTGTGGGTTACCCTAACAGTTATGTTATTTTCCTCACATGCCTCTTTGTATCTGAGGCCCAGGATAAGTTACCCCAGCTGCTGCTGGGCAGGGGCTTGGAGCTCCTCCTAGCCAGCTCCAAGATTTGTTAGGCCTGAAACTGTTCGAGGGATAGACAGGGGATACGAGAGAATGCCACCCTGAGTGACAGCAGGTACCCTAGACTGAGCAGGAGCACCTACTGTCCTAGGACATACCATGCCCGTGGGTGTGGGAAGTAGACCTGAACCATGGGCTCCTGACATGGCGCTTTCTCCCAGAGTAGCCTGGAATGCTACAGTCACCCTTGTCACAGCAGTCACAGATGTCAGCAGGGCCTTCTACCGGGAACCATCTAGAAAGACAAGACAAGTAGTGGAGACTTTGGTTCCCTGCAGGAAGCTGTTTGCTGGTAGTATGTTGGGGAACAGACAAGGGGTGACTGGTTAGGTTTCTACTAGTCACACAGAATCTTGTCTTCTCACCTATTCGAAGGCTTGCTGAAGTAACAGGCTTTGTTGAGTTGGTCCGGGTCCTGGTCAGCCAGAGTGACCTTCAGATGACAGGTGATATACATCTGGAAGTAATAATAGCTACTTCTAGGCTGTGCCAGGGAGTTTAAGCTAGTTTTATATAACCCTTTGTAGAGGAAAGGGAATAGCTCTCTCTAAAGTGGTCCATGGGAGGTTTTGGCTGGTGGGTTGCTTGAGCTCACGAGCTCGAGACTAGTCTGAGCAAAAGACCCCTCTCTATTAAAAATAGAAAAAACTGGCTCAGCGCCTATAGCTCAACCGGCTAAGGCGCCAGCCACGTACACCTAAGGTGGCGTGTTTGAATCCAGCCCGGACTCGCCAAATAACGACGGCTGCAACCAAAAAATAGCCGGGCGTTGTGGCGGGCGCCTGTGGCCCCAGCTACTTGGGAGGCAGAGGCAGGAGACTCGCTTGAGCCCAGGAGTTGGAGGTTGCTGTGAGC